CAGAAGCTTACGCTATTATACTAGTAACCTGACTCGAGGCAGAGAGAGAAATAAACGAATAGTTGAAACAAAGTCGTTATTTTTGTTTGTTTTTGCGCACAAAAAGTATTCTCGTCATTTGATAAACTTAAGATTGAGCCACTGTAGTCACTTGGACTATTTTAACGAGGTCTTTAATGACTTTACGAGGCCATCAATTGTCATTCCCTCAAGAAGCCTATGGACTAGTATGCAGGAGTGATCTTAATATCTTAAATATCTTAATTTGTGTTTCCGAAGATGAACGAAGGTCTTACGGGGTTGGAACAACATGAGGGTGAGTAAATACTGACAGAATTTTCATTTTTGGGTGAACTAACCCTTTAAAGGTGCTCTACGCGATGTCAGGTGACGTGACTTCTTGTTGATGTTTAAAGTATTTTCAAACAAAACGGAGGCTAGATAGACCCTTCCTCCTCTTCATCCGCGCACTGATCTCCCCAATCCCCACCCCCAGGGGCTTCTCGTCAGTCATTGGCTGGAGTAGTTTGTTATGTTTTGTGGAGTGGGTTTCCGCAATTTGTTTTTGTTGCCATTTGTGGAGCCTAGGTTGTCTGCATAGACCACGTTTTTTACAGTGTGTTTAGGGGACCGGCAGCTAGCGGATAGTGAGGAGATGTTTGCTGTATGTGACAAAAAATATCTGGGCCTAAAAAACACCTTTCACGTCCTTGGATTTATGCGTTTCTATTACACCAAAATTAATCTGCAGTGGTCAGGTGGTACAGCAGTCACATGGTACAAGTAGGACCTCTCAGAAAATTCCCAGCTTACAAACTGTAATTACAAGCTCTCCGAGGCTGAGAAGGCTTTTTACAAATTACGTAAGCAATAAGGTACAAGAGGCTGTGCTGTATCGTGAACAAGTAACGGCTGAAGGGCGCTTCGCGGAGTGCCTGCAACCCCTTCAGCCATTACTTATTCATGATGCAGCACTTACCTTGAGTACCTAATTGCTTTTATAAAATGGTTACCACACAATACAATTTTAAAGTAAAAAAAAAAAATGTATTAGTGCAACTTTTTATGAAGTAAAATCACTAAAAGCCTTCCTTCTGCTACAAAAAATAGTCCCCGACCGTGAACAATGTTCCAATGTGTAATATGCATGAAAGCTCAAATAAAAACACCATAGGAACCGCAGTTCTGCGCAGTGATATATAGAACCGTTGGGTGAAGCGGTCATAGCTGTGTTTTATCATGAATAAAGCACAGCTATTGACCAATCTGAATCAAGGATTGGAACTAAACGTTTTATAATGTTATTTACAACATGGTGTGAAGTATACAGTATACAAGCACAATTGCGAATGTGATTTTGCTTTTAAACAATTTAGTTTATAAACAAAGTTAAAGTTAAAGAAACGGTTTACCCAAAAATAAAAAATTCCATTATCATTTACTCACCCTCATGTCGTTCGAAACCTGTATGATTTTCTTTTGTGAAACACACACACACACAAAAAAAAAAAGATATTGTGAGGAAAGTTTCACTGTTCAAACAACGTTTTGTGTTCCACAGAAGAACGAACAAAGACCTGAAGGGTAAATGACAGAATTTTCATTTCTAGGATTCAAGATTCAAGGAGGTGATAGAAACAGGAAGGGGAAAAAAATGCATTGAGCTTTAAAAGTATGAGATCCCAAAGCCACTTGTCCTTCAAAACAAATGAACACAAAACATACAGCAAATTCTGCAAAGTGTCACTAGTAGGTCTTTTTCTTTCTGCTATTCCTCTGTGCAGGATGAGGGTGAAGAAGGTGCCAGTGTCACCATTGAAAGATCTCCTTGGAGGGACTTTTTTGTTTTAAAGGAACACTCCGACTTTTGGGGACTTTAGCCTATTCACCTTACCCCCCAGAGTTAGATAAGTCCATACATACCTTTTTCATCTCCGTGCGTGCTATAAGTCTGTTTGACGCACCCACCGCTAGCCTAGCTTAGCACAAAGACTGGATGTGACTGGTTGCAGCTTTCATACTAATCCAAATGAGTGACAAAATAACGCAAACGTTTTCCTATTTACATGTTGTGATTTGTATAGTCACAGAATGTACAAATAACAAAGTCAAATGAGACACAGACATCTTTTAACCGTATAAAACCTGGGAACTATTCTCTGAAGGCGAAGCACTGCTACTTTGACGGCGTAATAACCGCATCACCGGAGACACGCCGTGGTGAGGAGCGGAGAGTTCGCTCGGTGTTTGGGTAACAGAGTCAGCAATTTATAAATAGTAAAAGCGTAGTTTAGAGTCATGGGTTTTCGCTCTATTGTAAATAGCTGCGACTGTAAACAGGGGAGGTAACCATGTTTCACAGAATTCCAACTAAAAACGCTGACTGGATGAAGAAACTTACTCTGGATATTTATCCAAACACACCTAAGATTATCAAGGGACATTATGTTTGCTCGGTACATTTCAATGAGGACGACTATTTTGAAAAAATGGAATTTGCCACACGGACCATAATGTGCTGAAGGATACGGCCATCCCATCGATAGCACAGACAGGACAAGTGGATCACCTGCAGCTGAGGTAAGTGTTCCGTTATGTTTTTAGATGACCTACTGTAACAGTGCCTTTAGCCAGATCTAATGTAACGTTAGTGACACTATTATATGATTAGGGTATTAATATGTTTTTATCTTGATGCGGTGCGGACGCGCTTGGAAAAAAACGAGCGCGTTCACCGCGTTGAACTTGCACCCTGCGCGCGGCGCGCCTAGTAGCCTAAATTTGAAATAACCATGGAAATAACGAACTTGAGCGTGCAAAAGGGTACGATAGGCTGTGAGTTCATTGTGCAAAAACAATTTGTGCTATTACTATTCCCTTATTCTATCCTATAGTAATGCAATACTGTATATTATATAGGCTACTGTTGAATACATTTGGTTCAGCTAATAAATTGCATTTAAAATATATTGATTCCTGTAATAATAATTATTTATTCATGTGATATTTATAAATCTGGGTGCGTTTTTGGTTGGAAATCAATGAAACATGGTACTGTATTACCTGGTCTCCCCTGTTTATTGTCACAGCTCATACAATAAAGCAAACACCCATGATAAACTATGCTTTTCTATCTAACGTTAGTAATTGCTGACTCTTTATTCCAACGCTGAGCGAAGCGAACTCTCTGCTCCTCGTCACGGTGCGTCTCAGGTGATGGTTATCACTCTGCCCAAGTAGCAGTGCTTCCCCTTCAGAAAATATAGTATTTATACGGTCAAAAGATGTCTGTGTCTCATATGGCCTTGATATTTGCACACTCTGTGACTATACAAACCACAACATGTAAATAGAAAAACGTTTGCGTTATTTTGTCACTCATTTGGATTAGTATGAAAGCTGCAACCATTCACATCCAGTCTTTGTGCTAAGCTAGGCTAGCGGTGGGTGCGTCAAACAGACTTATAGCACGCACGGAGATGAAAAAGGTATGTATGGACTTATCTAACTCTGGGGGGTAAGGTGAATAGGCTAAAGTCCCCAAAAGTCGGAGTGTTCCTTTAAAATGTCAATTTAGTGTTATCATTACATAAAATATTTAAAATGTATAAAGAAATGTGCAGCATTTTCTCTGAGAAATAAAAAGGACACACATTTTTTTATTTGTCTTAAACCTTAATATAAAAAAATCGTATCGTGAAACCAATATCGTGAACCGAATCGCATCACGAGTAGAGTGAATCGCTACATCGTTAGCCACGAGACAAGAGACGTCATTAAACTGCCTCATGTCTCAAAGCAATTACATAAACAAATTAAAGAGCCTTGACCTGTATTACCTGACGGACACAGATTCATTTCGGTATTGATATGATGTTTGACATTGATGTTGCCATTGAAACGGAGAAATTTGAGTCACAAACCGGTCCGATTATAAGGTCACGGGTAATTACAGTGGTTTTGGTGTGAACGCAGCATAAGCTCGTTGTTTTTGGTTGAGGAAGAACTGTAAAGGCGGCTGCTGTTTTGGTTGTGGTGCTCGCTGACTGACTGTCTAACTCTGCAATGAAACCATGTATGGAAATACATGTTGACAGGCAGGTAGGCTATCATCTAGGACCGAATGCAATGATTGGACAAACTTTTTAACAGTTATTCTTATTCAACAGACAATACATTTAGACCACTTAACTTAGTGGTTGCGATAAGAATGTGAAGAGACTTGCAACCCACATAACAACAAAAAATGTTTCTGGAAAATATCGCCTACCCTGCCTTTAACGTTTTGAGTCAATATTTTGCAGTAGCACCTCATTGCAGTACACAAGATCCAGGGGGCGGAGTCGGATCCGGATCTTAAGGGTGGAGATGGGTAGGGTTAGGGATTAGGGGGTGGAGATGGGTAGGATTAGGGGTGGGGTTAGGGATCAGGGGGTGGAGATGGGTAGGATTAGGGGTGGGGTTATGGATCAGGGGTGAAGATGGGTAGGAATAGGGTTGGGGTTAGGGATCAGGGGGTGGAGTTTGGTAGGATTAGGGGTGGGGTTAGGGATCAGGGGGTGGAGATGGGTAGGATTAGGGGTGGGGTTATGGATAAAGGGTGGAGTTATGGATCAGGGGTGGAGATGGGTAGGATTAAGGGTGGGGTTATGGATCAGGGGTGAAGATGGGTAGGAATAGGGTTGGGGTTAGGGATCAGGGGGCGGAGTTTGGTAGGATTAGGGGTGGGGTTAGGGATCAGGGGGTGGAGATGGGTAGGATTAAGGGTGGGGTTAGGGATCAGAGGTGGAGATGGGTAGGATTAGGGGTGAGGTTAGGGATCAGGGGGCAGAGATGGGTAGGATTAGGGGTGGGGCTAGGGTCAGGGGGCGGAGATGGGTAGGATTAGGGGTGGGGTTAGGGATCAGGGGGCGGAGATGGGTAGGTTTAGGTATATGTAATTGTATATGTGGATTTTGTGTTCTGCAGTGAGGACCATCTAATATTTTGGCTAAACATACCTGTGCAAACATACCGCCATGATCTCCCTCGTTTCGGTCAGTCTTTGAATTGAAGTGACCCTCAGACTGTGATTGGTGTAGGTCGTTCTCGTCCCGGCCTCTTTGCAAATTTTGGGCAGCATTTGGGACAGATAATTGACTCCCAAAGGAACCGCAGTGTACCAGATCTCATCGCTGATCACATACATCCTTTTGGGCTGTAGATAAAGCGCTTTTGCGTCGGTTGGAATTTTGCTGAGATATTTCTCCAGAGAGGCAACAGGACACAGCGGATTGCCAGGCTCTTCAAACATAGCCTTGCGTTTTTTCTTGTCCCTTTCCTGCGGGTTCTTCGTGTCCTCGTTTAATGTCATGGTGAAGTATTTAAAACCGTTTTGGTCTCGGTTCAAAGCAAACACGTCTGGCTGCAGGTGTCGGTTGCCCTCCTTACCCCTGAGTCCAAAATGTAACTGCATGTCATACCACACCTTATTTAATAAGCCTTTTGGGTTGCCAGGGTCCAGTGCAGCGGAATGTTTCAGCATGTGCTGGTCTTCAGGTGAAATCGGCGGATAATGTGCTGTTATATCCCTACCGGAGCGTCGCATCTGCTTGACAACCCCTTTAAAAACATTGTTGGCGGACCTGAACTCGGTGTCCTGCATCAGATTCCACGCACGGTTGATGGGAGGCTCGTTGATGAACCGATTTAACCCAGCCCGGAGCCCGACGTAACTGCTGATCCCGTACAACTCCCCTTTGCTCGTCCGAATAGAGCCATAAAACTCGCGCAGCACCGGATTGAGCTCCGACTTCTCCGCGGTTTTCAAGTCGATTGTCAACTGCTTTTCACGGAGCCAGGCTTTAAAACAGTTTACTGCCCATATCGTTTGCTTTACGGTACTAGATTCGTTTCGGTTGTGTTCCAATTCGTCTAAATCCGCCGATGTTACATTCGCACACCTGGATACCTGTGCTGTTAAACTAGCCTCTCCTCCTTCCGTCTCTTCCTCTTCACCTGAAGAGCTTTCACACTTTAGGTCAAACATTATATTCATGGGAACAAGGTCCGTTGGTTCAACTGGTTTCTTCTTTTCTCCAATATCATAGATGTTCACGGTGTCCGTGGGATCATACATAACATCCAAACTAACATGTCCATGCCCGTAAAAAGCTGAAATGAAGCATTATTTTAAGCGTCTTGCTGACCTGTAAACATACATCCAGTAGTGTTTTCAGGATTTCTTTGTTGTTCTTCTTCTTTGGGAGACTGGCGGATGAAGAGTCACAGAAACACAGCGCCATCTGCTGTTTACTGGCAAGAAGCATGAGCAACACAGCATTTGATAAGTGGATTTATGGAAATCATTTCACTTTTAAGTGTTTTATCGACATTGAAACATTGCACATCAACTCCTGGCGAACAAACATTATTTATTATTTGAATTATTACTCAGTGAGTCATTTAATGTATTACTATGGAAGGCTTTTGTCTTTCAAACACATTACATTTTGGTGTAATTTGTTGTGAGCTGAACCACTTTGACCTACTATATTTACTTCAAGTACCCAATGGGATTTTAAAAAAAAGTTAGGTCAATAATAAATAATAATACTAATTAAGTTTATGGTTCCCTGATGTTGGGTAATGGTCACATGGCATGGAAATAAACAAATACAATATTTTATAATTAATTTAAACTCACAAACTAACCTCACAACCTCATTTTGGGAAACCCTGACGTAACGTAATAATGCACTTTAGATTCATAAAGAATAGATTATTTTCTTTCTCTTTTTATTTTTATTTCAGTATGGTACATGATTATCCATCTCAAATCAATATGGCAAACAAGTTAGATCAAAAGTAATCAGATTATATTACTTTACATGTGCAACAGGCCTAAAGGATTTTTAACTTGTGAGAGGGAAAGTTGTGTGTTACACTGTCAGTTTGACATGTCAGAAGATATCTATGGTGTTGTCATTAATATCATGCATTGTAGCTTCACCTTTTTGATCTCACAGGAGAAGTGGCATATGACTGTGAGCAACATTGTAGATTTTATGACCAAAAAAAAATATTTCAGGAGAGAAAACGATTGCATATCAATCATTGTGTTATTTGACTTGCATAATCTAGCTAAATCTCTCGTTAATTTTGATGCTTTGCATTCACGTTATAACTTCAAATATGCTGAAATGAAAAAAGTTACCAACCTCTTATGATAATATATATATATATATTGAGGGAAATTGAGGGATTTATGTGGTAAATATGTTTCCATCACAGTTTATGCAGGTCTTTCTATAGGATAAAGCATTATCCAGCTCAATTGAGCACATAAAATTATTTGTGCACATTTTTTTAAATGTGAAATTTACATAAAATAGGTGGATGCAACATAGTGACAGAACTGTTATGTAACAGGAATACAGTAGCCAGACACACAAACAGCTATTGTCATTTTTTTTTTTAACTTTGAATTGTTCGCTTTATTCAAAACCAATTATTCTTTGTTCTCCAATGATATTCTTGAATACTTTTAGATTAGGCTATGTGTGGATTTATTTCTGCAAATGACCTCTCAGTAACATCTAACAAATTTCCATTTAAAAAAAACTTACAGCTACGGATAACATCACTCGAATATATCAGAAAGTCTCAGTTTATATAGGCAAACTCTGGATTCTTAATGGGAACATAATTGTTTTGAGAAGAGAGAGAGAGAGAGAGAGAGAGAGAGAGAGAGAGAGAGAGAGAGAGAGAGAGAGAGAGAGAGAGAGAGAGAGAGAGAGAGATCCAGTAATCACTGTGATTGGGCCATCTCGACAATCGGTGAGAAAAATAACATATACCACGCGACAAATCCTCTTACGTGATAGGACACTGATACTGCTAAATAATAGCAAGGACACGTTTAATAAACAATACTTATATGAATAAATAAAGAGAAATTTATACATTAATAATGCTAGGTCTCCAGTAGCTTAGCAAGCTACTCCGGTGTACGTTGAACAGCATTTTTATTCAGTTATTTATAATAAAATACAATTGTGTTAATACAGAAGATAGTCCAAGATCCATATCATGTGGTTTATTCAAACTTAGTTTAATTTAATGGTGATGTCACAAATATTAAGCTCTACATTTACTGGTGGGGGGGGGGGGTAGCACAACTCTGCCTTTATTCTTGTGTTAAAGATTAAAATTTAATGCAAGTTATATTAAAATATTCCATCTAAATAATAGAAATACTTTAGTCTTATGTTAGTTACATTACCAAAACATTATTATACATTATTAGCTGCATAGAAGTCTCATACATTATTATGCTGACCAAAATGTTACATTGCAGTTTCTCTGCATGCTTCATGATGTCATACACACATAATCAGAATTCACATTGTAATGCACATTTCGAAATGGTCAGTAAAACGGTGAGGTTTTTGTATGGCAAAATACTGGCAGGAAAAATGATCTGACAACTGCTATTTGACCGTAAATAAAATTGCTGGTCTTGCATCATTTATGTTCTTACTTCTCAACTCATAATTATCATAATGTAGGCTAACAAAGTTCTCTTCCAATCCTTGAAACCACAAGACTCCACTTAAACAAATCCAACTGGCCAATTTAGTTTCAAGAACAAAGAATGCCACAGAAACTGGACACAAATCCATGTCTCTGTTTATGAGGACAGCTGTTCATGAGATTTCTGAGTGGTGTTATGTATATTCATAATTATATATTTCATATATATTTGCACAGTGTAGTAAAATATTAATATTAAAGATATTGTATTTGAAGGTTTTGTCAATTTAAACTTAGCACTATAAAAAATGTGTTTGCAGACTATAAGACAGAAAACAAGTCATGTTAGTTTGCCTTGACTGGGACTAAAATGAAAGCTTCCTTGGTCCATGTTGCTCACCGGGGTCTGAATGTGGGTCTCTCAGTGAAGGATGGCCAGCAGGAGACGCTTGAAATCTCCACCACACTCCGAGCTGATGGCCTCTTTCAGAGGCACATCATATTTCTCCAGGTACATGTCTTTAATGGTCTCCAGATCAATCTACTCAAGCAGAAGAATAACCATTACATGTTGTTTTGTAAAACAGTCTAATGATCTGATCTCTGTGTAATTATTACCATGCATGTACTTCAAGCTAAATATCAATGTCTATGATCAGAATAGCATATTATACAAATTATAGTCTTTGCTATATACACTGTATGCAAATGCATGCATGCAATATCTGGAATATAATGGCATTCAAAAGTCTGCTTTCTTTGAAAGAAATCATTACTTTTATTCAGGAAGGATACATTAAATTGATCAAAAGTGGCAGTAAAGACAATGGGCACTGTCATACACCAGGCACAATGTGGCACCAGGTGCGACGCAAGTGTTTTTAGCTAGTTTCAGCCCGACGCAGTTATCATTTTTCACTTCCAGTGCCGCGTTGTTTAAATAGCAAATGCTTTTGTGCCCATCTGTTAGCCCATGGGCGTGCTGGTCTGAAAAAGAGGTATATTCAGGCGCATTGTTGGTGTGTTGCTATTTAGAGGAAACTGAAATAGACTGTGCCATTGACCAACTAAAACCTGGTCTAAAGTCAACGGCGCAGTATTTATTTTTTGTTATTTAGAGAGTGCATTAGTAATGTGCGCCTATAAGCGGGTTCATAACACTCTGCTTATTACAAACACAGGGACAAGCAGCAGCACACAAACATGCCAAATGTTAAAAATAAAAGGATTAGAATGTAAAATTTGTCCTGTAGATGGTTCTTGCACACTTTAACCTCGAGCCCGAGCAGAGTTTCGTTTTTTACGCTTGTAAATCCCGCCATGTAAATAGCGGATACACCATGGCGCGAGTGCAACTGACTTTTAAAGGAAATGGGAGATAAGACTCTGATTACTCATTAAGAGAACAGGGACAACCCTTAAGGACCATGCACCGGGTGCACTGAAAAATGTTCCCGTCGTTTAACTAGCAAAAGTGGATTCAGACATGCCCTAAGTGCACTTGCGCTGTGTGCTTAGATAGTCAAAATAGGACTCATTATGTTACACAGCAAAGCAGCATATTAAAATGATTTCTGAAGAAAGAAGACTGAAGTAATGATACTGAAAATTCAGCTTTGCATCATAGGAATAAATCACATTTTTAAAAATGTGAGTAAAATATAAAACAGTTATTTTAATTTAAAATAATATTTCACAAAATTAATGATATCTATGACATATGGCAATTCTTTAAAAAAAAAAACATTTAAAAAATCCTACCAAAGCCAAAATTGTGAATGATAATGTAATACCATTCATGACTTTTAATATTCTTTCTAAAAGTTAGGAATAAAATTAAAAATACTGGATTTAAAATGCGTACCACTGTTTGAAAGATTTACCGCATGCTGTTTGTTTCACATGCTACTTTCTATAAATGTCAATGCTGTGCAGTGTGCAGTACACAGTACACAACACTCCAGTACTCCATTCTTAACACACCCAAAATGACTACACACTGTAAAAATGAATATGCTTTATCTAATCAATAGAATTGTGGCAACAGATTACAAGCAATATTACTAATTAAAATTAACAAATTAGAATTGAGTAATAATTAAAAAAAAAGTTAAAAAGTTAAAGTGTCAGTTCACCCAAAAATGAAAATTAAGTCATTAATTACTCACCCCCATGCTGTTCCAACCCCTTAAGACCTTCGTTCATCTTCGGAACACAAATAAAGATATTTTTGATTGAATCTGAGAGCTAGATCAGTCCTACACAGACTGCCTAAGGGACTGGCTCTTGACGGCCCATAAAGTCAATAAAGAAAAGGTTTAAATATTCCATGTGCCTACAGCGGCTCAATTATAAGTTTATCAAGTGACGAGACTACTTTTTGTGCGAAAAAAAACATAAATAACGACTTTATTCGACTATTCCATTACTTCCTCATGGGCGCATGCGCGAGAACTGAGACGAGGACGTTCTCATTCGTCTACTTCTTGTTACCGGCTGCTCACCGCTTAGGAGTTTTACCGCCACCTACCGTATAAAATGATGATCCATATATAAGGCGCTCCGGATTATAGAGAAGATTAAAGGCTTTTAAGTGCACCTTATAGTGCGGAAAATACGCTAATTGAAAAGCGAATGTACAGCGCGCGCCTTCTTCTGCTTGTAAACAGAAAGTTTTGCGCTTCCAGCTATATCAGCACATCATCTTATACGGTAGGTGGCGGTAAAACTCCTAAGCGGTGAGCAGCCGGTAACAAGAAGTGGTCGAAGGAGAACGTCCTCGTCTTAGTTCTCGCGCATGCGCCCATAAGGAAGTAATGGAATAGTGGAATAAAGTTGTTATTTATGTTTTTTTTTCGCACAAGAAGTAGTCTTGTCGCTTGATAAACTTATAATTGAGCCGCTGTAGGCACATGGAATATTTAAACCTTTTCTTTAATGACTTTATGGGCCGTCAAGAGCCAGTCCCGTAGGCAGTCTACGTAGGACTGATCCAGCTCTCAGATTTAATCAAAAATATCTTTATTTATGTTCCGAAGATGAACGATGGTCTTACGGGGTTGGAACAGCATGGGGGTGAGTAATTAATGACTTAATTTTCATTTTTGGGTGAACTAACCCTTAAACCATTTAAAATGATTAACGTTTACAACCAAAAAATTTAAGAAAAATATTTCACTAACCGACAGACGTCAAAGATTAATTAAGAACTTTTTATTTTATATTGCCAACATTGATGTTTACAAGCAGAATCACTGAAGGACAAAACCGTAATTTTAAAACAAACATAAAACAAACACTGATCACCATAATGGTGACTTAAATTTATGTTGTTGTTTTTTTATTGTTATTGTAAGTTTGACTCATTTTAAATGGTTAACTTTTAGGGAATTAATTTGATTAATTATTACTGAATTCTAATTTGTTAAATTTAATTAATAACATTGCTTGTAATCTGTTCCCACAATTTTTTGATTAGATAAAGCATATTCATTTTTACAGTGTAGCAATACTGATTGAAGGCCTGTTCACACCAACAACGATAACTTTAAGGATTACAAAGATATGGTTCTAAAAATCATTACAATCATTCAATCATTACAAAAATATAACAGAATAGCAAAGTCCACACCACAACTTTATAGTAACAATATAATTGAAATCGCTTTCAGAATGATTTTTTTTTCCAGCTGATGAATGATAAAAACAATGACAGCCAATCAGAATTAATCCTGCCTTGAGCATTTAAAGGGACAGATGACAAAACTGCAGCATGTGCTTAGAATAAACAGAAAAATATTGTGTGTTGGTGTGAAAGTGTCGCTAATGTACTGATATAGTTATCTTTCTTGGTGTGAATGGCATACAACACGAGAAAAGGTATTATACCTCTGAGCGACACACAATGATGCGGATGAGAGTGTCTTCATCAGTCCCGGCACCTTTCATAGCGGCATTCAGCCTCCGGGCAAAGAATAGCTGGGGGTTCTTAGCAACCCTCACTATGGGTTAGATAGAAAGTGTTAAACAAGTGAAGAATTGACAAAACTCAATTCTCTACGAAACTCTAGTATTGTAGTATTTTAACATAGCAGCTTGGCTTTATTCACAAATCTCATGATGAAAAAAAAGTTCATTTTCGTTCTTTGCTTAGGGGTAACAATAAGCTTATTAACTTTGCAATAGTATAATGTCACCGAATATCCCTACGACGCACACACTGCTAAGAGTTAACGTGAATTTGTAAATATGTGCTGCACATTTCGTTAAACACGAAAACACAGTTTCAGAGTCTCTTTCAAATAGTTCTGTCAGAACCATTATCGTCAAATATGATTGACAATTAGCATAGTTTGGATTGGCGGTATGGTTCCGTTCTGGGCAAGAACTCCCTGTGCATCCATGCATGGATAAGAGCAGGGAGAGCAGCAATAACCCTTTGGGTAAACAGAACAGAACCAACATGAATGTATTGCAGATATCATTAATTCATTTTAATGTACAACATTATTAAAGTCTGATTTAAGTCTGATTCATGGGTAATTAGAATGCCAAATCCTGACTGTGCTGAGAATGAAGGAGGGTATTTAACTCCTGAGAAACGCAAGAGCTGCTGATAATACTGAAGGAGCTGATATATGAATACAACGATAGGCGTCGTATCCCTGTACATAGACGTGGATCAGCTGAGAGTCAGCTGATGCGAGCTTAACTAACGTGTTACGTGACTATACCAGAACTGGCGCTACGCTTGATAACTACAACTTCCATTTTCTACTATAAAACGTCTCTCCAGTGTGTTCGTGTTTTCACTCACGGACGTCTGACCTCGACATATTGTACAGAAGAGATGAACCGGAGAAGATTTCCACCTCAAAGAAGGCGGAGTCTCAAAGCCACACCCACCTATTACATAATCGCCACAGACCAATGGTAGTTTGAAGGTGTTTACCAACCAGAGAAAACTTTTCTAGATAATTTCGCTTTGACAAACTGTTTCGAACTCCCGAAACAAACTTAGTTTTGGCCTGATTTTGTTCTAAATGACATCACACCAGTTTGTTCTTCCATTTTGGTTTTTAAGCCAGCATGAAACACAAGTTACAATATATCTGAGTGAAACAGCTACTCGAATAAGATTTTATTATTTTATTTTGTCAATTGGCTTTATGCCCAGCTGCACTACTTCCTGAACTTCAGCCAGCTCCTTGTTTCCTGTGTGCCATTATTGGCCAAATTGATTAATTCAGGTGTGTCTGATTATTGTTGCCATGACTACTGAGGTCAAGCACACCTGAATTAATCAATTTGACCAATAATGGCAGACAGGAAACAAGGAGCTGGCTGAAGTTCAGGAAGTAGTGCAGCTGGGCATAAAGCCCATTAGGGATAAATTGGATTGTTGTAATTTGTAAAAAAACAATCACATCATCAAGAAGAGAAGAGATGTTGTTATAAGAGGGAGGGGGAGTTATTTACAAGGGCACTTGAAAAATAATGTTGTGCACTTATAAATCATTTGTAAATACAGCAACATTCTGTACATTGAACATACAGCAACTAAATGGTTGCTGCCTGTTTGAACAAGGCCAGTGTTTACAATACAAACCAAGTGTGATGTAGCAGTCCTTCAGAGTTCCAGAGGTTTCCTTATCAATTGCATCCAAAATGTCAGTTCCAGAGATCTGTTGGAGAACATGAAACACAATTTAAAAGTAATCCAGAGCTATTACAAGAAAACTAAGAAAACATATTGTTCTAAATTACTACTTTAAAGGGAGTTCCCCCCTTAAATGAAAATGATGCAGGGTCAATGCATCCCCCCTTCTTTCTTTTTCATACCACAATACCCTCTGATGGTCTTCGGGGTCTGTTAGACCCCAAATGAATTTTGCTTGAATTAAAAAAAATGTTCTCTTTTTCCAAATGGTATGAAACTTGCTACGGCTCTCAACACTGTCAAGATCTACAAAAAAAAAAAAAATTAAAATGGAATTCTATCTGTTTTTATGTAGGCGTGACAAAAATAGTCACACTCGTGGTCTTCGGGGTCCATTGGACCCCAAAAAATACCATTTAATTTTGTAACAGAACAATAGGTTTTTTTTTGTATACAAATATTATTTTACTGTTCCCATTCAGGGAACTTCGAGCTGCGTGTAAACGCCGTGTAAACGCCGTGGGAACGCCTCTGCGTGACGAGTCATGAAGCACGTATGAAATCTGTCCAATGGCGAGACGGAACGTCATAGGCGGGGTGACGTATCGACCAGGAAACTATAAAGCATCCCCGAAACACAAGCGCAACAGCTTCTGAGTCTTCACAAGCGCTCTATGTATGAATTTTGTTTGTATATTTATATATATTGATATGGCGAGCAAACAACAGCAGTATTTCAGAAAGTGTGTTCATCCCTGCCCTCGCTTCATCACGGGTGGGGATACACACGATCTGTGTGTTGTTTGTTTGGGAGTGCAGCATGCTCAGTCGGCTCTCGAGGGGGCCGGCTGTGAGCACTGCGAGTGTCTGCCCATGAAGACACTTCGCTCCCGCCGGGCACTCTTCGAGGAGAGTGGTTCGGTGCGCGCTCCCCGCGGCTCGGGTCCCGCTGCTGCCGAGGCACAGCGAAGGCTTGCGTCGTGGGGATCGCGGATGGATCTATCAGCGGGGATTGAGACGGGCCCCGCCCTTCCTCTGCCCTTACCTGGTAGATCCAGTGCCTCAGTTCTCGCTGCGGGGGTCCGCGTTGCGGTTTCTCCTGCCCGGGCTGAGGCGCCATCACTTCAATTATCCAGTTCTGAGGAGCTGGATGTTGAAAGTGTGGATGCAGAGTCTTTGGACTCAGTGGAGATCGGGGACTCGCCATCCCAGTCTCCCGCAAATGTAGTAAAAAAAAAAAAAAAGAAAAGGAGGTTTTTGACTCGGGCTGTGGAAAAATTGAATGGCCAGTTGAGAAACAAGAGTCGAGAGAGTAAAATGGATGAGAGATTTTTAAAATCACACTCACTACCTCCATGCCGGTGTTTGCCCTTCTTCCCTGATCTACACACCGAGGTGTGTAGATCGTGGAACAAACCAGTGTCAGCTAGAATTTTGACACACCAGACCTCTATGTATGCTAATATTGCTGGGTCTAGGAGATATGAGTGAGGGGGAGGTCGTCGGCACTGACGTGATTAATGAGAATAATATGAAGGAGAAAGATAAAGCTTTTCTCCTGGATGCGCCGCTGTCGACCGGGAAAAAAACAGGCAGCGGCGCTCCAGAAATGTCTCCCCCTCCGTACTCATCCTTCGGGGGCTGCTGGGCGAGAGCAGCCCCGCCCATCGGGTTCCTCGCATAGGGCGCAGCAGAAGAAGAGCGTCGCGTCTCGGGCTCCTCCCCAGCAAAACTGGGCTGAGACGCGGCGTTCTCAGGCGAGGTCTTCCCGGGATAGAACCGATCTGAGGACAGTTATTGTCGCCAGGAAGGCTTCGTCGAAGAAGTCCTGACGCCACTGGTGTCAGGCTACTGAGGGTGGTCCCCACCGTGAGACAGAGGTGTTCGCCGCTGAATCCGGCGCCCGCTCTCTCTCGGTGCCCTAAGGGGTTCGTTCTGCCAACCCTGCCTGTAATGGGGGGTGCAGACGGTCCCAGCGAGCGATTTCCCGAGGGACGCTCGTTTGCTCCGAGGAGCGATACAGAACGGTCGTTAAACCCTGCCTGTGCGCGGTCACAGGGCGCTGTTTCTGTTTTTAAAAACTACTCCAGAGGCCAGTCTCGAGAGACTGGTACCCTTAGTAGAATTTCTGGTAGAATGGGGAAGTCTTCCAAATATATCTCGTTGGGTCCTGCAGACTATCGAACGCGGGTACGCGATCCAGTTCAGGTCGCGTCCACCTCGTTTCCGGGGGGTTTTGCCCACAGTGGTGACCCCCGAGCAGGCTCTGGTTATGGAACAAGAAGTGAAAGCTCTGCTACTGAAGGGGGCGATAGAACGAGTTCTTCCTCCCGACAGAGAGCTGGGGTATTACAGCCGGTACTTCATTGTTCCAAAGAAGGATGGGGGGCTGCGTCCGATTTTAGACCTGCGCCTCTTAAATCGGTCAGTAGGGAAGCTCAAGTTGTAAATGCTGACTCTCAATCAGATCGTGTCACAGATCAGGTCCGAGGACTGGTTTGTCACGATAGACCTAAAAGACGCGTACTTCCATATCTCCATCCTTCCGCAACATCGGAAGTTCCTGAGGTTCGCTTTTGGGGGCGAAGCGTACCAATATCGGGTCCTTCCATTCGGCCTAGCGTTATCTCCTCGAACCTTCACGAAATGCATGGACGCGGCCTTGGCCCGCTGCGTCTCCAGGGCATTCGCATTTTAAATTACATCGACGATTGGTTGATTCTGGCTCAATCGGAGCATCAGGCGATTCGGCATCGAGATGCCGTCCTCGCCCACATCGGAAGGTTGGGGTTGAGACTCAACGCCAAGAAGAGTGTGCTTTCGCCAGTTCAGCGGACCACTTTTCTAGGCGTGGTATGGGATTCGACGACGATGCAGGCACGTCTGTCGCCGGCTTGTATAGCCTCGATTATCTCGACTGTCAAGCAAGTGAAGCTAGGCCAGTCACTCACTGTAAAGGAATTCCAGAGAATTCTGGGTCTGATGGCAGCAGCATCCAACGTGTTACCGTGCGGCCTGCTGTACATGAGACCACTACAGTGGTGGCTCAGGACCAAGGGGTTCTCCCCGAGGGGAAAGCCGCTCCGCAAGATCAAGGTCACGCGACGTGGTCTCCGTGCCCTGGCTATGTGGAAAGAACCTTGGTTCCTGTCCCTGGGACCTGCGCTGGGAGCCCCGTGTCGCCGGGTAACGGTGACGACGGATGCCTCTCTCACGGGCTGGGGAGCGATCATGAGTGGTCGCTCGGCCCGCGGGTTGTGGCAAGACCATCATCTCCGATGGCATATAGATTGTCTAGAGATGATGGCGGTGTTTCAGGCTCTGAAACACTTTCTCCCAGACCTCAGAGATCATCATGTTCTTGTCCGGTCAGACAACATGTTTGTGGTCTCTTACATAAACCACCAGGGGGGTCTGCAGGGACCCGTTCTGCTGAACCTGCCTGTGAGGGTGGGCGCAGACGGTCCTAGCGAGTGGTTTCCCGAGGGAAGCTCGTTTGCTCCGAGGAGCGATACAGAACAGTCGTTAAACCCTGCCTGTGCGCGGTCACAGGGCACTGTTTCTGTCTCTATAATTACTCCAGAGGCCAGTCTCGAGAGACTGGTACCCTTAGTGGAATTTCTGGCAGAATGGGAAAGTCTTCCAAATATATCTCGATGGGTCCTGCAGACTATCGAACGCGGGTACGCGATCCAGTTCAGGTCACGTCCGCCTCGTTTTCGGGGGATTTTGCCTACAGTGGTATCCCCCGAGCAGGCTCTGGTCATGGAACAAGAGGTGAAAGCTCTGTTACTGAAGGGGGCGATAGAACGAGTTCTTCCCCCCGACAGAGAGTTGGGGTATTACAGCCGTTACTTCTTTGTTCCAAAGAAGCTAACGATATACGTCTCCCTCACGGGCTGGGGGCGATCATGAGTGGTCGCTCGGCCCGGGGTCTGTGGACTTTCTCCCAGACCTGAGGGGTCACCATGTTCTTGTCCGGCCAGACAGCACATCGGTGGTCTTTTTATAGACCATCAAGGGGGTCTGCGCTCATGTCCATTATTCAGGCTAGCGCCAGATCCTTCTGTGGGCCCAGGGGAAGCTTCTTTCTTTGGCGATTATATATCCCAGGATATTTAAATCGGGGAGCAGACATCCTGTCGAGGCAGGGGCCGAGGCCCGGGGAGTGGAGACTCCACCCCGAGGTGGTGGAGCTCCTATGGAGTCATTTCGGTCATACCGAGGTAGGCCTATTTGAATCCAGGGACTGAGACACTGCATGCGGTGGTTTCTCTGTATCCACCAGCCCTCTGGGGTTGGATGCGATGGTACAGGAGTGGCCGAGGTCACCCCTGTACGCATTTCCCCCGATTGCTCTGCTCCCAGGAGTTCTGGAGAGGGTTCACCGAGTCGGGGTCTTTCTACTGTTAGTAGCCCCGCGTTGGCCGGCCCGAGTATGGATGCGGGTCGATACTTCACCCCCGCCCAGATCTATGGAGATTGTGGCTTGGCCTCTGAGGGGGCCCAGCTCATAGAATCGGGTCTCTCGACTGAGGTCGTGGAGACCATCCTCCAATCCAGAGCTCCGTCCACGAGGAGATTATATGCCTTGAGGTGGCAATGTTTCACCTCTTGGTGGGGAGAACACCAGTTGGACCCAGTTAACTGCCCGGTGTGGCGGTGCTGGAATTCCTTCAGGAGCATTTCTCCACAGGGTTATCCCACTCCACACTAAAGGTGTATGTGGTGGCCTATCTGCTTACCACGTCCCTTTGAGTGGAGCTTTTCACGGGAGATACCCATTGGTAATTCTTTTTCTTCGTGGTATTGTGAGGTCAGACCAAGAGAAACTAATCTGCTCTGCCCTCTGAGGGCTCTAGATGCTTATGTCCACAGAGCTGCCCTGTGGAGAAAGCCTGAACAGTTATCTGTTTGTTTTGGACCTCCGAAGAAAGGTTGTCCCGCATCTGAGCAGAGGTTGAGTAAGTGAGGGGTCGAGGCCATCTCATTTGCATATGAGTCCGCCGGTCAGCCTTCTCCTTT